GGGTATGTTCTACTACAGTCATACTAAGGAACCCCCAAAACTCTATTCTAATGATTCACGCCCCTACATTACCCTGGCCCTAAACCCTAAACCCTAAACCCGAAACCCTAAACCCTAAACCCTTTCTCTCCTTTGGGATCCCTGGGTCTCCGGGTTTACTCTCGGAGTCCTGCAGGATCCCGGTTTCCCACGGCTAAAGGGAACTCCACCTTGAAGCGGCGCAGCGCCCTAAAAACCAAACCCCCCCCCCCCCCGNNATCATAAGGTACCCCCCCCCCGCCCAAAAAAAAAAAAAAAATCCTTCTAAAACCTTGTCACACTGTCCTCCTGGGCTTTCTCCAGCTTTGCCTTGAGGACAGGCGGTTCCTTCATGACCTGGCTGGGGCTTAGGGTTTAGGGTTTAGGGTTTAGGGTTTAGGGTTTAGGGTTTACGGTTTTGGGGGTCTGGGTTTCTGGGTTTAGGGCTTTGGGGCTTTGGGTTCAAGATGCTAGGATTCGCCTTTTGGGTTTTCAGGCCTTGCTTAGCTGCTGAGTTCAGATGCGCCCCAATGTTTTTCTTTAAAGGAAATGTACACTTTAGTTCTTGCTTTGAGGAGTAACTATATCCCCAGACAGTGTGAAGTGTTCTCCCTCAGCCTCTAAGTCGATTTTAGGGTTTAGGGCCTCCAGCCGAGGATTTGCGGGGTTTAGGATTTAGGATTTAAAGTTTATAGGGTTTAGGGTGTGGGGATTCGGGTTTTCGTTGTTTTAATGCACTAACCCTTTCTCCCGCACGAGGTCGTAAGATTAGGGTTTAGGGTGTATGGTTTAGGGTCTAGGGTTTAGGGTTTGGGGTTTAGGGTGTAGGGATTGCAGTTCAATTCTCTTGCTGCTATCTGTCACCAAACTCATTGTTCAAGGGCTGCGCAGACGTTCCGTTGCCCGACCGATGAATGGGGGAGTTAGGCCTGGGCACTACTCCGCCACCCTAAACCCTAAACCCCAACCCAAAAACCGAAACCCGAAACCCTCAAGAATTAAATTAAGTATCAATTGCTTTGTTCACCTTAAACCCCCTCAGCCCCAGCGCAATCCTAAACCCTAAACCCTAAACCCTATACCCTAAACCGTAAACCGTAAACCCTAAACGTCCCAGCCCAGCCGAGCCCTGCCCTCCCCCAAAGCCATCCCACCCAGCTCAGCCGAGCTCCGCGCCCCCACAACGAAAGCCCAGAGTAGGGTTTAGGGTTTAGGGTTTACTTGGAGGATCATGGGACGTAGTAAGTAAGATTATAAGTACCCTATTTGGGGTTATAATTATAGTTACCTTATTTATCACCCTAGTTACTAAGTCCCATGATTCTCCAAGTAGTGTTCCCAGCCCCAGCCCCTCCGCCCAAGTCCAACCCAGCCCAGCCCCAAATTCGAGATCTGGTTCCGGAAGGGTCAGTCAAAACGTTCGCTCAAACCTGGAATAAGGGCCGATCCCGGAACCAAACGCCGGCCGCCTTCAGCCGAGCGATGTGCCGGAGCGCCGCGTGGTAAGGGCACAGCGGGGCAGACGCCGCCCGACAGGCGCACCGAAGCTGCCGAAAGGTCATCTCGACCCCTCCCCCGGTCGCCGTCTTATGAAGCGGGACCCGGAGGGTGACCATGCCCTCGCCGGCCTCAAGGTCCTGGGTGCTCGCCGCCGAGAACTCAATCTCGCGGAGCATAAACCACACCGCCAGCAGCAGGGCGTCCGCCGCGTGTGCCATGGTCCAGAGGGACCCAGCCAACAACGAGGGATCGTCGGTCGGTGAGGACAATCAGCCGGGTCATATCGGCACCCAATTCCTGAGACATCGTTTCAAAAAGTCAACGGGTCCGTGAGCTAGGCATAAACCGCGAAGCCGAAACCCTCAAACCCTGAAGCCCCCAAGACTCAAAGTTCAATTCCCTGAACTCGCTAAACCTTAAACCCCTAAAGTTTGGAAAGGCCTTTCGGATCATGGTCCCGGAAAGCCGTTTTGAAACCCGTTACACGTACCTCTGCAAAAGAAGAAACCTAAACCCTCAACCCTAAA